GCAAAAGTTTCATGACATCAGATTTGGCAAGGATTTCTGGGCTATGACACCAAAGGCATAAGCAACAAAAGAGAAAAAAAGACAAAATGGACTACAACAAAATGTAAACATTTGTTCCTCAAAAGACACTATCTGCAGAGTAAAAAGGCAACCCACACTATGAGATAAAGTATTTGTAAATTGTTCATCTGATAAGGATTAATATCCAGAATATATACAGAACTCCTAAAACTCAACAACAAAAGGACAAACAACCCAATTCAAAAATTCTCCAGATAAAATACACAAATGGCCAATAAACACATGAAAAGATGCCCAACATCACATCATTCAGCATTAGGGAAATGCAAATCAGAACTATGAGATACCATCTCACATCCATTACGATGGCTGCTATAAAAAAAACTGTCTTGAACAGAAAACAAGTGTTGGCAAGGATGTGGGGAAAACTGGAACCCTTGTACACTATTGGTGGGAATGTAAAACGGTGCATCCACTGTGGAAAACAGTATGGCAGTTCCTCGAAAAATTAAAAATAGAACTACTATATGATCCAGCAATTCCATTTCTGGGTATATACCCAAAAGTATTGAAAGCAGGGCCCCAAAGAGATATTTGTATACACCCATGTTCATAGTAGCATTGTTCACAAGAGCTAAAACATGGAAGCAACCCAAGTGTCCATCAACAGACGAATGGATAAGAAAAGTATGTGTATACATACAATGAAATATTATTCAGCCTTAAAAAGAAAGGCAATTCTGGGAATTCCCCAGCGGTCCAGTGGTTAGGACTCTGTGCTTCCACTGCAGGGGATACGGATTCGATCCCTGGTTGGGGGACTAAAGATCCCACATGCTGTGCGGCGTGGCCAAAAAAAATTTTTTAATAAATAAATAAAATATTTTTTAAAAAGCAATTTTATAAAACACTTAAGAAAACAAAGGCAGTTCTGAAAGATGCTACAACATGGATGAACCTTGAGTACATTATGCTAATAGAAATAAGCCAGTCCCTAAAGACAAGTACCGTATGATTCCACTTAATATGAGATAATCAAAGTCATAGAGACAGAAGGTAGAATGGCGGTTGCCAGGGGCTAGAAGGTAGGGGAAAGGGGCGTTTAATGGATACAGAGTTTCAGTTTTACAAAATGAAAATTGATCCAAAGATTCAAAGCAAATTCATCCAACAAAGTTTTCCAAGGAACTTGAAAAGATGATTTTAAAATCTGTAAGAAAGAGAATGAGCGCAAATAGAGCCAAGACACCCTTGATGAAGAACTAAGGCTGAGAAGGTGGGGAAAGGGGCGTTTAATGGATACAGAGTTTCAGTTTTACAAAATGAAAATTGATCCAAAGATTCAAAGCAAATTCATCCAACAAAGTTTTCCAAGGAACTTGAAAAGATGATTTTAAAATCTGTAAGAAAGAGAATGAGCGCAAATAGAGCCAAGACACCCTTGATGAAGAACTAAGTTGGGAGGGCTTCATGTGTCAAAAATCAAGACCTAGATAGCTAGTTTGCTATTGGTACAGGAATCACCAAACGGGCCGCTGAAAGAGAATAGGGACCCAAAACACAATCCATATATGTATGGGAATGTGATATATGATAAGGGTGGCACTGCAAATCAGTGGTGAAAATATGAACTATAATACCTGATGCTGGGACAGTTGGTTTTCCCTAATCCTTAATTCATATCACATACAAAAATCAACTACAGATGGATAAAGATTTAAATGTGAAATGCAAAATATTAAAAGTTTTAGACAAAAGTAAAAAATATCTTATGACCTTGCACAAGGAAGAATTCTTTAAGCAAGCACAAAAAATAGAAATCAAAAAGGAAAAGATTGATGAACTTGACTGAATTGAAATAAAAATCTGTTCATCCAAAGATACTATAAATAACCTGCAAAGATGAGCCACAAATTGGGAGAAGATATTTGCAATTCATAAGGGACAAATGAGTCTCATCCCAAATATATAAAGAACTCCTAAAAACCACTAAGATAGCAACAGAAAACCGAACAGAAAATTAGGTAAAAGACATGAACAGGCATTTTATGGAAGAAGAAACCTGAATGGCCAATGATGATTTGCAAATATATTCAACCTCGCTAGTAATCAGAGAAATGTAAATTAAGACTATAGAGAATTACCATCTTATAAAAACTAGTTTGACAAAAGTGAAGAAGCCTGGCAAATTTTGATCTTGATGTGGAGCAATGGAAACTTACACCCTGCTGTTAGCAGTGAACACAGGCAAAGACACTTTGGAAAACAATCTGACACTGTCTTATAAAGCAAAACAAGCACATACTTTATAATCCAGCAGTTCTTCTCCCAGAATCTGCTGTGCAGGTGCATCTGGAGATTCATTTAAGAATGTTCACAGCAGCCTCGTTTGTAATGACAAGAAAACTAGGAACAAATCAAATGCCCATGGATGCCAGAATGAAGAAATAAATTGTGATATATTCATACAGTGGAAAGCTATACATCAGAGAAAATAAATGAACCACAGCAAAACATCCACCTGGGTAAATATTGGAAACATGGTGTTGTGTTGAAAAATAGAGAGCAATTTCATTTCTATCAAGCTCGAAAATGAGCAAAATTATATAATGCACTGTTTGGGGGACACATGCACATATGGTAAAATTACTCCCCAAAAGGTAGGAAAGTTATAAACATAAATTTCCGGGGAATATTTACACGTAAGAGGGAGGTAGGGGATATGGAAGGGGCACCCAGATGACGTTCAAATTCACCAGCGGGGTTCACCGGTGTTTGGTGTATTATTATGACTTTATGATTTTCATAAATGTTATTTTTTGTACAAATCAGCACTAAGTAGAATAAAAAGATATGTGATGAAGCAATTTATGACAAGCTCCTAGCACATACAGCTGACTCACTATACTCTCCCTGCAGGCCAGGTATAGCACTAAATGATGTACACACATTCTCTTATTTAGTCCTCCAGCAGCCCTACCAGCAGAGATGATCTTTACTCTCACTTTACACACGAGGAAGCAGACATCCAGAGAGATTAAGCCACTTGCCCCAGGTCATGCACCTAAGGGGATCTGAGATGCAAACTGAGGTCTGACTCCCAAGCACTTCCTCTCACACAGCAGGAAAGAGACTGCTCTGATCCCGCAGCAGCGCTCCCTCCTCTGAGTCCCCAGAACTCTTCCCACAATTAACCTGTGAACTTGCACTCCTCTTAGATGAATCTGTGTCTAAGTCCTCAGTTTTCCTAAAGCTCCTCCAGGACAAAGATAATACCTGTGCCTTCTCTGTATTCCCAGGGCTGGTGCTGGTACCCAGCAGGATGCTTAGTACTGTTGGTTCGGGGTGTTACAGAATCATCTGATGTGGGGCTCTGGGCTGTTGGCTCAGAAGTCTGGGGGAGGAGTGCCTGGGGGCCACGAGGAAGGGCCGGGCACTCACCCCGGGGGCTGTAGCCATGGCCGTCCATGAAGGAGAGGCCCAGCCGTGAGTCTCATCCCAAATATATAAAGAACTCCTAAAAACCACTAAGATAGCAACAGAAAACCGAACAGAAAATTAGGTAAAAGACATGAACAGGCATTTTATGGAAGAAGAAACCTGAATGGCCAATGATGATTTGCAAATATATTCAACCTCGCTAGTAATCAGAGAAATGTAAATTAAGACTATAGAGAATTACCATCTTATAAAAACTAGTTTGACAAAAGTGAAGAAGCCTGGCAAATTTTGATCTTGATGTGGAGCAATGGAAACTTACACCCTGCTGTTAGCAGTGAACACAGGCAAAGACACTTTGGAAAACAATCTGACACTGTCTTATAAAGCAAAACAAGCACATACTTTATAATCCAGCAGTTCTTCTCCCAGAATCTGCTGTGCAGGTGCATCTGGAGATTCATTTAAGAATGTTCACAGCAGCCTCGTTTGTAATGACAAGAAAACTAGGAACAAATCAAATGCCCATGGATGCCAGAATGAAGAAATAAATTGTGATATATTCATACAGTGGAAAGCTATACATCAGAGAAAATAAATGAACCACAGCAAAACATCCACCTGGGTAAATATTGGAAACATGGTGTTGTGTTGAAAAATAGAGAGCAATTTCATTTCTATCAAGCTCGAAAATGAGCAAAATTATATAATGCACTGTTTGGGGGACACATGCACATATGGTAAAATTACTCCCCAAAAGGTAGGAAAGTTATAAACATAAATTTCCGGGGAATATTTACACGTAAGAGGGAGGTAGGGGATATGGAAGGGGCACCCAGATGACGTTCAAATTCACCAGCGGGGTTCACCGGTGTTTGGTGTATTATTATGACTTTATGATTTTCATAAATGTTATTTTTTGTACAAATCAGCACTAAGTAGAATAAAAAGATATGTGATGAAGCAATTTATGACAAGCTCCTAGCACATACAGCTGACTCACTATACTCTCCCTGCAGGCCAGGTATAGCACTAAATGATGTACACACATTCTCTTATTTAGTCCTCCAGCAGCCCTACCAGCAGAGATGATCTTTACTCTCACTTTACACACGAGGAAGCAGACATCCAGAGAGATTAAGCCACTTGCCCCAGGTCATGCACCTAAGGGGATCTGAGATGCAAACTGAGGTCTGACTCCCAAGCACTTCCTCTCACACAGCAGGAAAGAGACTGCTCTGATCCCGCAGCAGCGCTCCCTCCTCTGAGTCCCCAGAACTCTTCCCACAATTAACCTGTGAACTTGCACTCCTCTTAGATGAATCTGTGTCTAAGTCCTCAGTTTTCCTAAAGCTCCTCCAGGACAAAGATAATACCTGTGCCTTCTCTGTATTCCCAGGGCTGGTGCTGGTACCCAGCAGGATGCTTAGTACTGTTGGTTCGGGGTGTTACAGAATCATCTGATGTGGGGCTCTGGGCTGTTGGCTCAGAAGTCTGGGGGAGGAGTGCCTGGGGGCCACGAGGAAGGGCCGGGCACTCACCCCGGGGGCTGTAGCCATGGCCGTCCATGAAGGAGAGGCCCAGCCGCTCATCCTCCTGCAAGGTGCTCTGGTCCGTGAAGCTCCGGTCCACGGCACTCATCATGTGGGTCTTCTCCTGGCGGTAGTTGACCGTGGCCTTGGTCATGTTCACTGGCTTCCTGCAGAGGAGGGTTGATGGGAGACATGGGTGCTCAGCTGGGCAGGACAGCAGCCAGAGGTAGATGGGGAGGCCTGGCAGTCAGGGGCCCTTGAGGCCAGGAGCCAGTCTAGAAGCATCTCTGGATGCTGAGGGGGCTCTGCCTCCATCCTTTGCCCACCAGACCCAGTGAGCTGCTGCCTCCCCTAAGAAGGACTGGGCAGGGTCCCTGTCCTTGGGACCTTTGATGACAGCAAGGGATGGAACAGCAGTGGCCTCAGGCTGGGATCTGCCTCCTAACTCTCACTGGCCCCAAGGGCTCGGGAAAGGGGGGAAAGTCACTCTGGGTGACTATTTTGGTGTCACAGCAGACAGTCACTGCACCCCAAACAAGGGAGATGCCTGCCCCAGCTCCAGCCCCAGCAAGGCCCATAGGTAACCTTCCTTCTTCCGTCCTCACCACACAGCTGCCCTGAGTTTTCACTGGGCACAGGATGACTCCAACCATGACTTCTTCTTACCCCCCAGAACCCCCAGAATGGTTGCACCACAGGCCACACCAGACTTGTAAAGAAATCCACGCGGGGTCCCTATTCCCGTCACTGCCCACCAGTCCATCCAGCCACCGGAAGCAGCAGAGAGAGAAGTCGAGAGGCCCCAGTCCCTCCCGAGAGGACAGAGCTTCTGGAGAGCCCCTGGGCAGAGGCCACACACAGCCCAGACCTGCAGCCCAGCTTTACAGATGAGGATGGCAGTTTGTGACCCCAGGGAACTCGGAGGAAAGTGGGAGGGAGGACGGGGCGGGGAGGCAGGCGCCACAGCTCCAAGATCGAGGGGCTGCGCGACGGGCAAAGGGAAAGGACTTGGGACCTGCGCTGAGACTGGAGAAGAGCCAGGGCCCAATCACAGGGAAGGCTCGGGGCGAGAGAGCCGTTCACCTCTAGGCGCTACAGCATGCAGGGTGTGGGGCAGACCTGAGAGAGGACTTCCGGGTCACGCGGGCTCAGGGACACTGGTCATCCATGGAGATGAAGAGGCCAGTGCAGGGATCCCCCAGACAAACAGGCAAACTCCACTCAGCCCCTCCTGGCTCAAGAGCCGCCTGGGGCCCAAGGGGGACAGGATGACCTCTGGATGCCCCTCCTGCCAGGACCTCGACGTCCTTCCTGTGCTAAGATGGCTCTGTGTCCACGCTGGGGACCGGTGCTGCTGTGCACTGCGGTGGGTGCGGCCTTCCCAGTCTGGACAAGAGATGGCTCAGCAGGCCCAGGCCTCCAGCTCCCAGCCCCACCCGCGGGCTCTGGCCATCACCCTCACTGTGGCCAGGGCAGAGCCAAAGGCCCATTTGGGGGCAGGTGAGAAGAGGCCTCTGTGGCTGCGACCTTGACCATGAACATAAGAGAGAAGGTGGAGGAGGAAGCGAGGTGAGGAGGGAGAAGGGGCAGAGGACTGACAGAGCAGGAGAGAACAGGGGCCATGACAGGGGCAGAGAGAGAGGGAAGGAGACGGAGGGAGGGAGGGACAGGTCACCCAGCGGCCACAGGGAAGACAGGCAGAGGGCAGCCCGTCAAGCTGGCCGAACAATGGTGCCCAAGGAGGGCCTGTCACCATGGTACCGGCCTAGAAGGCCTGCGGGGCTGTACCCCAGGGCTCTGGTCCCACCCGGGCCTCCTGGTGCACTTGGAAGAAGAACCTGAAACACCAACCAACCAGGTCCACAGACACAGCCAGGAGGGACACCTCGCACCGAGGCCTCCAGCCCATCTCAGGGTGCGGTCAAGCAGACGCCACGCAACATGGACACTTGGAAAAGTTCTGCGTTTAGGTTCCAAATTAGCTGCAAAGTAGAGAGGGAGGGCGAGCTGCCTTGTCAGCAGCTCCTGGCAAAGCCGAGCTGGAGGCTCCACGTGAGTTGACGGGGGTGTGGTTGCTGGAAAAGCCAGTGTGACGGTGGGTGACTTCCCTGCAAGAAGAGGGTCCAGGGAGGAGGTGAGAGACCACCATCCTCTGGGCTGGCCCGGGGCCACCTGAGCCTGCTGTGCAAGGAGGGGACAAGCACAGGTAAGGGGAATGTTCTGGAAGGCTTGCAGGGTCAGCGATCAGAGGCAGGAAACAGAGCAGCATGGACAGACCGTGGAGTCCAATGGGGCCTGGCTTGTAACCCCAGCTCTGCCTGTCCTGTGGCCTCTGAGGAGTCCCTTAACCTCCCTGAGCCTCAGTTTCCTCATCAGTAAAATGGGGTGATCACAGTGCCTCTTCTCAGGGTTGTGCAAATTCTGTGTGAAGAACTGAGCCCAGGGGAGGTGCCCAGGAAATGGTGGGTCTGAGGAGCTGGGGTCACCAGCTGGAGAAGGGCTGGTGGCACCCTGGGAGCCGTGTGCACCGTGTGGAGAGCTGCCATCTGTCTGCCCCACACACACGCGCACAGAGCTGTGGATCTGGAGTGGGACCCGGGTGAGGACCTTCCTAGACGCGGACTGTGGTCTGACATCAGGAGGTCCCACCCAGCAGGAGTGGCTCAAGACACAAGGGGCTGCCTCAGGGGCGAGAGGACACAGAGGCTCAGGGAGGTCGAGTGACTTGCCTGGGGTGGCTCAGCAGAGCCAGGTCTGAAACTGAGACTCTGACCACAAAGCCAGAGCTCCTGACCTCCACGCAGGAGGACGACAGGGAAAAGAGAGACAGAGCAGAGGAGGGAAGCTCAGAGACAGGGTGGCCGTGGAGGAGGGGCTGACGCCAGGCCAGGCCGGGGTGGGGGCAGGGGCTCCCCAGGAGGGGCAGGGCTCTGAGGCAGGTACGCTACTTACGGGTAGTAGGAGTAGGCATAGTGGTCTCTCCTGGCAGCGTGCAAAGAGAACAGCACAGGTGGGCCACGGTCCTTCCCCAGGCCGGGCCCAGGGCAGCACCCCCGGCAGGGAGGGGCCTGGTGCTTTCCGTGCCGGGGACGGGGTTGGCCGGGAACCGACAAGTCAGAAGGGCCTTCCTTGACCCAAGGGCTGGCCGGGCTCAGTCTCTGAGGACTAGGACCCAAGGTCCCTTCTAGAACCTTCCCCAAGCCCACTGCTGGAGTGAGAAGGAGGTGGGGAAAGGGCCTGGAGGGAAGCAGAGCTTTCACACACAGTCATACACGTGTTCACTAAGAGAAATGCACTGCACGCTCACATATGCAGACACACTCATCTGGATACACACGCTCACACACAGAAACACAATGACACACTCATGCACTTACAAACACAGATATTTACACACATGCAGACACTCGTACACATGTATTCAAACACACACTGACACACACAGGTACATACACAAACACACATTCACAAACACACGCTCACACACACAGACGCCTGCGCTCACACACACGGACACCCCCACGCACACACTCAAGGTAACTGCCACACTCTCCCCTGTGGACAGTCCCCACTGCAGTCCCCGTGCCGCCCACCCCTGCAGGCCCCTCTACCCCTGACAGGACAGCCCTCTGCACGCACCTGTGCCTGAGAGGGAACAGGTGGCCGGGGCAGGGGACACTGCGGCCTCGTCACCCACCCAGACTGCCCCTGGGTGTGGGGTCCATGAAGGGAGCCGGGTCACCCCCTCACGGGCACCCAGAGCACAGGGAGGTCAAGAGCCCTGACCTGACTGCCAGGTACCAGCAGCGAGGAGTGGGGGCAGGTCTGATTCCCAGCTCCCAGGTGGGGAAGCCAGTCCCGGGAGAGTCACGGTCTGCCTGGGGCTCTTGGGGGTCAGTGAGAGTCAAGAACAGGCCCAGGACCCTGCCCCCAGAGCCAGCTCCCCCTGAGGCCCCATCCAGGCCCACTCCGGGGTCCTCCACTCACCCACCCAACGTCACCCATCACGGCGGAGGGAAGAGAAGGAGAGGGGAGGGGAAGACTGAGGCCCGGCCAGGGCAGGAGATTGGCTCGAGGTCACATAGCATGTCACCCACCCCAGGGACAAAGGGGGGGTCCAGGGCCCTGAGCTGTTCACAGAGGCCCTGAGGGGAGGGGGGAGGGGCTGAAGGAGTGGCGTTCTTCTGGTATCAGCTGAAATATCATGACTTTAAAAGAGCCTTCCCTAAGGAGTCTCCCACAGTCACCAACTACATTATGTCCCCCTTTACCCTCTCTCTGCCCCCCACCCCGACACCCTGGTCTTTTCACAATTTGTAATTACGCATTTGTGCTTTTTCTAGTTTAATGCCAGTCCCCCCACTTATAACCACAAAGCACAAGAGGACAGCATCTTTGTCGCTTTTGCCCACCACTGGATCCCCAGGGCTCAGGACAGTGCCCAGCACATTATATTCCCTAGATATTTTACTAAATTGAGTAATCAATAAATGAGGAAAAATAAATAAAAGAACTCCACCTTTATGAGCTTCCATTTCCCCCTCTAAACAAGTGAGGTTAATAATAATCTCCCCATGGCAAGCATGTGCTCAGCCCTTCCCTGCCCCCTCCTCCTGCTGGGTTGGCAGGGGCGGTTCAGGAGGACCCAAGTCCCCTGGGCCAGACCTGGGGACACACAGCCAACAAGACAGAACTTCTTCCAGCCCCATGCAGCTCTCATCCCAGCAGGGAAGAGAAATACTGAGCAAAGCGCTGCAAGCATGTGAATGAAGTGCCGGGGTTGGGGGGGCCGGGCGGGGAGGGCTGCAAAGGGATGTGGGGAGGGTCTCTGGAAGCGGAACCAAGGGATCCAACCGGCCAGGGGCACCCCGGAGTTCCCCAGAGCAGGTGCATCCAGCCTCACTGTCCGCAGGGTGGACCAGGGTGCACGGGGGCTAACTGGGAGCTGCCCTCCCTCCGCAACCTCCTAATCTGTCCATTACATCTGTACCCCAGGTTGATCGGAACACCCCCATCCCTGCCAGAGCTTCTCTGTCCCATGGCACCCCACAATGCAGACTAGGGAAGCCCTCAGGAGCACAGTGGACCCTGAAGGCCAGGCAGGATTCGGGGGATGCAGTGAGGTGCTACAGAATGGGACCAAATGGCTTTTAGAGGACCTAAGGAGGGGCAGGGGGGTGGGGGAGTGGGGTGGATCCTAGAGGCTTCCAGTAGCAGCTGCATAAAGTGGAGGGTTTCCTAGTGAGGCTCTGGCAGCATCTCTGACCCATCCTCTCCTGAGCCTGGCGCTCTCTTTGCAGGGGTGGGTAACATCCCCTACATTGCCAATCTTCCCTTGAGGGTAAATTTCTAGAGCCTCAAATACCACCTGCAACCCCCAAGATCTGACCCCTCCCTTACAGCCCTGTCTATCTGCACCACTACCCAGCCCCCAGGGCCTTGCCACTTACAGGAACCTACTGTGTGCCAGTTGTGGTGAGGCCCTTCACGTGCCCAGCCGTGAGGAGGATGGGCTTTGCAGTCAGGCCTGGGTTCAGTCAGGACCTGCCACTTAGCCAAGTGACATGGGCAAGTCGCTTAATGATAGTTTCCTGACCTGTCTAAGGGACTTAGACCTGCTTCGTGGGCCAGGATGCAAGAAGGAAAAATTCTCTGATGTATTCTGAGTCCCAGAACAGTGCTCCGTACACAGTAGGTGCTCAATAACTCCTGTTCTAATGGCTGATGTGTATAGAACTCCTGGCACAGAGTAATATTCATTAAATGATAGTTTAAAATATTTTGCCTCAGGAATCTGTACAGGGACTGCGGGAAGGGAAAAATCAGCCCAGCACTCTGGACTGGACATCCCCACGCCACCCCAACGGCGGCATGCCCCACCCCCAGACTCTCTAGGAGAGTTTTTCTCTTATCATTGCCTGGCCTCAGGCAAGGGGGCCCTGGCCAGTTCTCCCTCATCTCCCTGGATCCTGCTTATCTGCTCCTGGCATCCTAGAGACCCAGAGCCAACACACCCATGTGTGCCCAGCCTGGCAGCAGCAAGGGCTACAGAAGCCAGAGCCCAGGTGGGGAGAGGGTGGAGCAGGCTCTGCCTCTGGCTCCCTGGGTGACCTTGGGCAGGTCCATGCCCCTTCTGGGCCTCAGCATCTCCATCCCTCAATTAAGGGGCTTGGACCACAGTGTCCTGGGGCTGCCTGGTGGGGAATGCGGTGGGGTGGGGAGGGAGAGCAAAGGGGTCTCAGAAGTCCCCACTCGGCTCCAACCCGAGGCTCAGCCTTCAGCTGCTCCATATACTGAGCTCCCAGGAGAGGTTTATTTGGTGTTTTGAAGATGGGTTCTGCTGCTTTTGAAAGACTGGAAAACCACTAGACTAGACGTCCTTGAGCTACATGGCAGCCCTCAGTTTCTGGGCTCTGAGCCTCTGTAATTCTAAATTCTGAGATTCTCAGAATCTCAAATCCTGGATTTCTAAAACTCCAAAATTGTAAATTCTGGATTCTAAGATATGCTGGGATTCACTCTGCCCACTGCAAAATGCACTGGGAAAATGCATCGCTCACAAACACAAGGACTGGACCTTTGAGGCCCAGGAGATGGCACAGACAGAAAGGAGGTCTCCCCTGAGTCATGGGCCCAGGAGGACTCCTCAGGGATCAACAGTAACAGAGTCCAGGGCAAGCTAAGCCCAAGAGAAGGTGGGGCCTGGGAAGCACAGAGGGTCCTTGCTTTGAAGTGGAGTGACCCCTGCCCCCACCTCAGGATCAACACCACAACCCCGTGGTTAGGGCAGACAAGAGAGCAGAAGACCTTCGGGGGGCTGAGGATTCCAAGACAGGTTACCTCCACATCATCCCCATCAGAACAGCCCAGCAGGCACAGGAGGGCGGTGCCCACGCCCAGCACGGCTCCTTGGCAGCCGGCAGTGAGTGCCCTTGCCTGGACAGTGGCACCCGGCACCAGCCAGAACTGGGCTCCAGCCAAGCCACTCTAGGGCAGCTCCATTTGCAGAGTCTCGGGCTTCCCCCAACCCGGCTTGGGTCCATCCACAGGCCTGATGCCCAGGCTGGCAGCCCTCCACACACCCGCCAGGCGACTGCCTGACCAGCCCCCAGCCTCCTCTCTGCTCACCAGGCCTCTGACAGAGAGAAGCCTCGGGTGGGCCAGGGCACCGGCCTCACTCACCCCTTTCGGATGATAATAATAATGGCCCCCAGGAGGAGGATGAGGACGGCAAGTCCCCCTGCACAGATGCCCAGGATAAGCCCCATCTCCTCCGACCTCTGGGACACCTCCAGGGGCTGTTTGCTTTCCTTGCAGGCAGCTGGGAAGAACAAAGCAGAACAAAGGATCAGAGGGGAGATCAGGACCACCTTAAGCCCCAAGGAATAAACATCTGCCCCTCATCCTCAGCACATGTCCTGCCTTTCAATCAAACCCATCTCCTCATCATCCCTCACACCTTCCGCATTCCCGTGGCAGAGGCTTTACGTGCCCTGTGCCCCTATCAGGGATATCAGCTCCCTTCACCTCTCTGCCTCCTCAAATCCTCCCCGTCCTTCAGTGGACGGGAGATGGAGGATGTGTGGGGCCTTCAGACCCCACCCTTTTGCCCTCCTGGGAGGCAATGGAGGGAGAGAATTATGTACCCAGGGCATGGTTAGGGCATCTCAGGATGGGGAACCAACCACATTCCCCATCTGGGAGCAGGGACAATCCCTACACCACAGGGTCCACGCTGTCCCCACTTCTCCCCACCACAGGAAAGGGGCAAGATACAGACCTCAGTGTCCAGTACCCACCACCCCCGTGGCCCGACCATAATGGCTCATCCTCCTCCAGGCCCCTGCCAAGGCCCCTTCTGTGACCATGGCAGGATGAGGGTTTGTCCCCACTGCCCAGTCTGCAAGAAGGAGCCCTTGAGGTGGGGCACATAGGGAGCAAGAAAGGGAAATGTTTCCTGACCCCCAAGCCTGCCAGACCACCCTCCTCTGCTCCCACAGGCCTGGGGACCCAGGGTCCACCTCCCCAGAGCCCACCTCCCCAGAGCCCAGCAAGTAAGAAACCCGCTACTGAAGGACTGAACCCAGAGGGACTTACCTTTCCTGGCAATGCGGATGCAATTCAGCCGGGTCTCCTGGAGGCACAGATGGGGGTCTCAGCACCGCTGAAGCCAAGACCTGACCCTCCCCAGAGGGAATCTTAGACAGCGTGTCTTGGGCCTGGTCAGGGCTTTTCTGGCGTGGACTGTTATTAAAGACACCCCACCTGGCAAGAGGGCCTGAGGGGAACCAGGGAGGGAGGGGCCAAGAGGGAAGGAGCCTGCAGTAGGGTAATGCCTTAGGAAAGGGGGATGAGATGGGTGGGAACAGAAAGAAACAGCATGGGAAGAGGGCTGGTTGGGGGAGGCGCTCAGAAATGAGGGTGGGGCCTAGATCCAGGGGTCTGCTAAGGAGGGGGGCAGCCTGGGAAGGAGCTCTCCGAGGAGGGAGGAGCCTGGAGAAGGGCGGGGCTTCAGGGAGGAGGCGGGTCCCAGGCCTCCTCAAGGTCTGGTGAAAGTGGGAACCTGAGATGGACCCCCTCTGGAGAGAGAGGAGCCTGAGATAGACCAGGGCCTCAGGGGGCAGCAGGGACCAGGCTGGGAGCTTGGATAGAAAAGAGTCTGGGGAAAAATGGTTCAGGAAGGGGGTACTGCTGGAGAGAAGCTGGCTGGGGTTAGGAGGGCGGGGCTCAGGTGAGTGGGCGGGGCTGGGAGTGGGAGGAGCTATCGGAGGGCAAGGCTCATCAGCGGGGGCGGGATCAGGACGGGGGGAGGGCCTGGAGGGGGTGGGTCTCTGACCTCTGTAGCAGCCTGCTCCAAGGTATCGCCAATCCTGCCCCCCAGCAGCCCCCGCCACCACCCCGGCCGGCCCCTCACCCCCTTCAGGTGGCTTGTTGCCTGGAAGTAGATGAGGTAGGCCTTCCTGGGCTCAAGCGGTGGGTTCCAGAAGCCACGATAGGTATGGTTGTCCCCCACGGTGAAGGGCATGGCCTCAGGCAGACTGCTGGCCGCCAGTTCGGCCCCAAAGTAGTGCACCAGGCCTCGGGCCAGCGCCGCATCGAAGGTCAGCGGCACCGGGAAGCAGTCCTGGCCGCCCGGCTCCCGCCGGAGTCTCCGTGGCCGCTCCTCCTCCACAATAACCTGGTACACACTGGCCATGGGGAGGGGAAGCGGTCACGGTTGCCAGAGAACAGGGAGGGCCATCTGGTGGCTAAGGGCGTGGGCTTTGGGGTCAGGCCCAGGAGAGGGCTCATCTCAGCTCTGCCTCTTACTAGCTGGGCAAGTCACTTAAGCTCCCTGGGCCTCAGTTTCCTCCTCTGTAAAATGGGAGTGATTACAGGACTGTTACATAAGGTAGAGGTGAGGAAGGAGGCAAGTTTAGCAAGCAGCCAGTGCCTGTCAGCTGTTATTACTGCAACTAAGGCTGAAAGAATGTGAGCCCTGCTTAAGGGAACCAAGCCCTAAAGCCCCACCCTGACTCCTCAATGAGTCCTCCAGGGCCTGGGAACCCCTAGCCTCAGGCTCCAACCAGGTTCCCGACAGGTCCCTCTAGGCCACAATAAATTCGAGTAAAACATGATGCATTCACTCATCCAGAAAGTGTCTACTAAGCTCAGACATGGGCCCTGTGCTGGGCACTTGGGGGATGTAGGCTTCCTGGAACTGCCCTCCAGTGGGGGAGCAGGTCACTTAGCAGGCAAACGAGGTCACACTAACCCTACATCTCGAGTACCCTCCCAACCCGGAGGCAGCCTTGAGACTGCAACTCTGAGCCTGCCATCTCCCGGTCCTGATGGCTGATTTGTGTTCCCTGGTCTGTATTCCCTCTGACTTGTGTCTCCTGGTCCCGACTTGTGTGTTTCTATTTATTTTCATCACGTTACTGAATGGCCTTGCTGTGAACTCTTCCAAATCCTCTGTGGAACAAAGCCAAGAGTAAATAAATGAATGCTGACAAATTTAAATATTTCCAGTCCCGGCCTCGGTCACATCTTGGCATGGGATACCCCATACTGACAGCCTGCACTCTGGCAAAGTAGAAATGCCTTTTCCTTGCTCTCCAGCTGTTTCTTTTGAGCTTCCAAGTTGGGAGGGACTCACCCCAGCACCCTGGGATTTGGGCCAGACAGGTTCATTCCATCACTAACCAGCCCAGGCCCTTGTCAACCCTCCATTTCCCAGGCTGATGTGAGGCCTCTCCTGTCCCGAAGTCCCACCAGGAGATGATAATAATCATTAGCCATGAATGAAACACATCTTGATCTGGGATGATCCCCATGATGCACCTAAGGGAGGCTCAGAGGGGTGAAGGGACATGACCAAGGTTGCACAGCCATCAGGCCTCTCCCCCTCACATGGTCCACCCCTTGCCCTGACCCAGCCCTGCCATCATCATCCCTGAGAGACGGTGACCAGGCCTGCACACAGGATCCCCCAAGGGAAAAGGAAAGGAGAAGGTGATGCTGGTTTCCCAACTCCTCCCAGATTCAGAGAAAACAGGGCCCTGAGGCTCCTGCAAAACGCCAAATGCCCCTGAGATGCCCAGACTTTTTCCTGGGGTCTGGGAATCAGCCCAGGGCAGGCTTTGCAGTGGCAAATACAGGGGAGCCAAAGCAGGAGAAAAGAGTGGAAGTGGGGAGGAGTGAGGAAATGAGGGGGTGTCAAGGGCACCTGGGAAACCCACTGCCTTCTTGGGGGGCTTAAGAGGACCCTCCCATGCCCAAATGCAGGCTGTCACCCTCTCCCAGTGCATGAAACTTTATGGTAGGAGGGGGTGGACCAGAGGGGCAGGGAGGCTCTGTGACTTCAAGGAAAGGTGCAGGCTTTGCAGACAAACCTGGCTTCCAAATCCCAGCGCTATCGTTTACCAGCTCTGTGGCCATGGAGGCTCATTATTCAGGCTCTCTGGGCCTGTTTCCTGATGTGTAAAATAAGGGTACTAATACCCACTCCACAGGCTGCCACGAGGATAACATGACTCATGCAGGTAAAGTCCCTAACACGATGTCTGGCTGACAGGAAGTATGTGCACACATTCCACAAACACGCTCACTCTCCTTCACACACTCACACATCACACACACATCACGTGTCCTCACCACACGTGCATACACGCGCACACGCGCACGCACACACGCGCACACACACACACACATCACATGTCCTCACCACACGTGCATACACGCGCACACGCGCACGCACACACACACACATCACGTGTCCTCACCACACGTGCATACACGCGCACACGCGCGCGCGCACACACACACACACACACACACACACACACATATCTTGTCTCCAGCACCTTCTCCCCAACAGAAACAGCCACTATGGTATCAGCTTTCTCTGCAAAGAAGTGGGGAGGCCAAGCTCTTGGCCACTCCAGAGAGATGGCCCCATCTGGCTGGCTGCACTAGCCTTCCAGAAAGCCCATCTCTGTGTCTCCCTGGATGGGATCCTCCAGGGAAAATGCTGGGAAAAATAAGGCCCCCAGAGTTCACTTCTCCAAGGTGCCAGAAGGAGGCCCTCTGGAGAGGGCCTGAACAGTCCCCTCTCCAGGCTGGATGTTGTCCAGATATCTCATGACAGTCACCACCAGGCACCCTGCGGCCTCAGAGGGGAGCGGCTGCAGGCGTCCTGCCTGCCCGGGATCACAGAATGTCCTCCTCCTGACACTCTGAACCCTTAGTGTGAGACTGAGGAAGGACAAGGGTGAGCTGGCCTGGGTGGGGACTCTGGGTCAGAGGAGGGGCCTCTTCCCTATGGCCCTGACCCCCCGCCCCTCCGTGCAGGCATCCGCACCTGATGGGCGCCCCGCGGCCCTGCGCCGGCCTCAGCAGCACGGTGATGGTGTTCTCAGACTCGCCCAGCGGTGACGGCATGTCGGCATAATCAAAGCTGGGAGCTGGGGAAGGGGACAGGACGTAAACACAGAGCCTGGCCACTGGACCAGGAAGGTCAGGCCTCCAGCCTCCTTGACCCCTGTCCTCAGATCTCTTCCCCTTCAGCCTTTGCCTCCTTGTTCCCTCTGACCTGAGCTTCCCTGACCCCTGACCTCAGCCCTTGGATTCCACCGATCACAGTCTCTAGACTC